TCTCGTCTGGCCTGGGAACGCCTCAGCATTCCCCCGGAGGAGCTGGAGGAAGTGTCTGGAGAGAGAGAAGTCTGGGCATCTTTGCTTGGACTGCTGCCCCCGCGACCCGGTCCCGGATAAGCGGAGGAAAATGGATGGATGGATGCCTATGCCACGGGCCGGCCCTGCCCGTGGGCCAGCATGACCTCATCCACTCCCCTCTCTCTGCTGAGAACCTCATCTCAACACAACTAATGCTACGTCACGTTGTACACCATCAGAAAGCTCTAAGTTAAGTCTGACAATTTCAGCTATGTAAGGCAGTTTAGGGTCTGTCCCTGGTAGGCTCGTGGTTAAGGCACAGCGCTTTTGTTGCTGCAGGCCGGGTTTGAATCAGGGTTGCGTCAGGAAGGGCATCCGGCATAAAACACATGCCAAATGTCAACATGTGAGTCGTCACTGTGACGATTTGCTGTTGTGACCCCTCAAAACGGGAAAAGCCGAAAATGACTTTCTTAAGGCAATTTAAGGTCCCTGTATCACTTCAACAGCCGTTTTTATTTTTCAGCAGTATAACACACAAAAGAAGAGTCGATCCCTACCTTTCTATGATGTCCGTAGCCCAGATGTGGATCCAAACGGTCAAAGCTGGACATCACTTATCACAAAAATGAACACAATCCAACCAAGTGTTAGTCCAACAAACATGCTGTCATAGAGAAAAAATACAAAAATCTGAGTAGTTCTATTTCTGATTTCAATCACCAGTCTTCTTTTTTTTTCGTCTGGGCTTATTTTCTGCTCCTCTGCTAACGCTAACAAACTCCATGTTCTGTTCTGTTCTCTTCTTCTTCTTGCTGTTTTATTGCAGCTGCCAAACAAGTGGTGCATTATCGCCACCAACTGGATTGGAATGTGGATCAGGAGATGAACAGTTTACGGTTTTTCAATTAAAATAAATTAAATAACTATGAAGGAAACATTTTTGGATGATTAAATATAAGATGTTTCAGTATGTTCTCACCTTCCAATTTCATGTTTCAGCATTTTAAATAAACTGCTATTTAGCCTTGTATGACCAAACCGTAGTCTGCTCTCTCTGGCCTCTTCCTGTGCTTCTCATTATTCCAGCTTTATTCTGAATTCTGTAAAATCCACCTTACCTGTTGTCCCCTTCCCACTGCTTATGTCACGTCTCTTTTACTTTCTGTTTATTTATGGTCTTTATTTCTGTTTTACTAGTAGATACTGTAATGTCAGCCTGAGACTTTTTTTTGCAGATTCTACTTTAATTAAATCCCGGTACCATGAATGCAATTCCTAGCTTGTTAAAACATTATGAAGCATCTGTATAGATCTGAACATAACTGTAATACTGACTTTCTTTGTTCTAACAGTTTGTTCATTTAAAACTCTTTTGAGCCGTGGCTAGCGGTGTTCTGATGGATTATAGTCGGTAAACTATTACAAAATATGAATCGTATGCCTGGCAGAGCACCCCCCTAGTGGACCTGAGATGTTGCTTTATTGTGCTTTATTGCTTTTGCTGTGTTTATTGTGTGGAAAAATTACACATATGACGTTGTAGCCCAGGTTTCGCCGAACATTTTGATGTATACATTGTTGGAGGTCGGCTATCACAACTCGCGTAGCATTCCTGTATTTAAAGTTAAGTCCGAGTCTCGGGTTGATAAGACCAATTCATTTTCCTGCCTGTTTTCCACTAAAGTCAGCACTAATGAAGCTCATGGTGGTGGTGCTGGCGTGGAGGTGCTGCCCCCTGGTGGTCACTATTGAACGAAACTGACCATCATCATGGAGATAAGGAAATAATCTCCAACCAAGAATTTACACAGATCAGTTTATTATCTGCTTTGTCTGCTTTTTTCCTGCTTTCCCCCCTAATTTGCAATGATACATGTTCATGTTTAGGGAATCACAAAATATTGTAGGTAGGATTAAGGTAAGATTTTATTGATCACTGAGGGGAAATTCACATTACAGCAGCACAGAGACAGGTAAAGAGGGGTGAAAAACTACTTGAATGAAATAAAAGGGGGGATACTGAAACCAGCTGTATAAGACATACAGTACAGTGAAATACCTGCAACTGAAAATAAAGAAATTATTGATATTTCATCATCTTAAATAACAATAACCATGTATATGTACAAAAAGGCTCAAATCCTTTAACTAATGGAGCCTTAATTAATCTACACATTAAAACAGAAGTCATTTAAAATTCACTGATCTAATTCCATGTTGTGGCATTTCTGATAATTATTCACCGTTCACTTACTTGCTTCTTCCCGTTAAGAAAGGCCATCGTTTTCATCCAAGACAGTGACGAGTCGATCTACAGACGGGAAGTTGAACAGCTGGTCCTGTGGTCACAGCAACCTAGAGCTGAACATGCTCAAAACAGTGGAGATGACAGTGGATTTTAGGAAAAGACTCCTCACCATACTCAGCAGCGGAGTCGAAGTGGACGTCCAACATCAGCACCGTCACCAAGAAGGCACAGCAGAGGATGATCTTCCTGACCTGGAGCAGGAAGTTCAATCTGCTGATACAGTTCTACTGAAGAATCATCAAATCTGTTCTCTGCTTTGTATATACTGTATCTGTCTGGAAAACTGCATCTAAACTGTGTGTATACACATATATTTTATATTTAAGCACTTTATTTTTATCTTCCTAATGCACATTCCTTTTTCTTGTTTGCACATTCTTTTTCTTTTCTCATTCTCTCAGTTTTGTCTTGTTTAGTTGCTTCCTCTTTGCCTTATGGAAGAACATTGTACCTGTGCATTGAGAGCCTGGTGTGCCCAACACACCTGGCCAATAAAGCTGATTTTGAACAGAGCTGCTTCAGACAAGAACAAACTGAGACACAAGTCTGAATTTTAACTTTTATTTATTATTATCTGGATCATGAGAAACATAATCAAGGACAAATACAGAAAAATATCTCTGAATGAAACAGAACACAGCTGCAGAGGCTGAACAACAGGAAGCAGGACAGACAAATAAAACACACCAAAACAAGAAACAACTGAACAAGAAAAATAAAGGTAAGTGCCTCATGTTGGGTGAATACATTCCTCTGGGTCAAATACAGCCTTGAAAGATACATACTTCAGCATCTATATGGATGTGACTGTGTCCTGGCTGAAAAATAAAGTTGAGAAGTGAAGGACCTGGTGCAAAAGTAGCCCAAGAATGAATCAGGTGGTGTGGCACCTGCACAGGTGTGCTGGAGAGCTAGAGAGCCCGGGGTTGAGGTATTTCAGCTATGCAGTGTGGAGAGGCTGGGACTTGAAAAGAAGGATTTCCATAATGCCCATGCATTGCCCAGACTGGTCGGGCACACTGTAATGTTTCTGAATACGTGTCTATTTATATATGTAATAATCTGCTTATATTTATGTAACCTTTTCCAAAATACACAGGAAATATCTATGTAGGAAAACACTGTACAAAAACAAGAAGAATAGCTCTGTATAAACATTAAACCTTTAGTATATCAATATATCCTTTATATAGTGTAATCTTTGATCTGTAATAAAGAGTACTAAAGTGGTTCCACAGTATAAGACGTCGCCACTCACCCGAGTCAACACAGTTTCAAATACACATTCCAGACTCACTCGGCCACCAGGGGGTGTCCTCATCGCTGAGCCACACTTTAGAAAACACAACAGAAAAACAAAGTTCATGCCAAAGCCACAAAGAACCATCTATTGCATTGAGGGAGTGAGTTTGGTTTGAATAACACAAAAAGACACATGTTCCAACAAAGCTAAAAACTCTTTCCACATAGTCTGAGAAACATTGTACCACCATCTGAGCCAGGGAAAACCCTCTTTAAATCCTATTTAAATTCCGAATTAAAGCTGACAGCGATTTTTTACTGCTTGACCACTCTGAGTAAAGCACTTAATAAACAGCTGCAGTTTCACAACGTGGGTCCTCTTCCTCTGCCCCTGTGAGCGAATCCCAGGTTGTACAAAAATGTCTTTTCCTTTACTGCACTATGGCAACCTTCTAATAGGATTTAACTAATGAGTCCGAAAACTGTGTTCGTTTTTAACCAGGTGACATGTCCTCGACAAATGACACCAAGTGGCTTTGAGCTTCAGAAGAAAAGTCCAGCAGACAATTTGAAGACTCGAGGCAAAAACAAACCACCACCTAAAAATCAGCTCTTTGTTTGTCACTGCTTCGGTTTTGCCTGTGCAACTCTGCACATAGGTGTGTGACATAAGCTGTGACGCCAGCTGACCTGTCAGATCCCTGCCCTCCTCCAGCATCGTCACGGTCCATTAAAAAGACCAGTTAGTGTGAAATGAAGCTGTATTGTTGCCAGAAGGATCATGACAACATCCAAAGCTGAATGTAAAGCTGAAGTGTCCTCGCACATTTCTCTGATCGGAGTAGACACACAAGATGTTAACAAGATAACACTGTAACCTGTACACAGATTGCTTTGTTGCTGTACAATACAACATTTATTATCCTCTCTGCGCAGGTATTATGTGCACACATTAACTTGAGTGCACCAGTTATTATCTCACTCATATGAGCAAATATCTGGTTTAGGCATTATCTTGTTTACACAAGAAAACCAATAGAATTTAGTGAGATTCCAGGGACTCCTTAAGCACTTGCAATTATTGCCTTTTTGCAAAGTTTATCTGAAATTAAACCAGATTTTTTTCCCATTTCTCACTTTGCCTGGACCTCGGTTAATCAAACCTCCAGAGTTCTGACCAACCATCTGGATTCGTCCTGGATTTCCACATCCCTGCTGCAGTGCCCTGAGAACTGGGCTATGATTATCCACTGTAAAGTCAAAACCAGTTTTCAAACAAGTGTTTAAAACAACAGTGACCTGTAAGTTCCAGCTTCAAAAGTGTCAGGATTTCTACAGCGCCTGAACAGGCAGCAGCTTTTCACACTGAGCGTCACAGCAAAGTCACAACCTCAACACGTGAACGGCGGCAAGATTCAAACAGACACATCCTGTCAAACGCAGGGAGACAAACATCAGACTGATGGAGGGGGGTTCAATAAATCTGCAAATGATGAAGACATTGAACTAAAGGGAAGAAGCTGCAGCCTGAATTCACCTGCAAATTAGACAGCTCCTTGTCGATGGACTCGTCTTAACGCAGCAGAGAGAAAACTCTCTTTGGGCTCCTCTCTTTACTGTTTCTGTCATGTTGTCAGTTACACTCTGATCTTGTTACAGCCAGTCTGGGGATTAGATACATTCTCCAGGTGCATTAATACATTTCATTTATCACAAATTTTAGAATTATAAAAAATATTTTGTGACTTCTATAAATGTTTTTGGCATTTTCAAGCACTGCATCAAAATCAGTGCATCTTCCGTATGGTATCCAAGATGACTTTTTATAAGCTCAATTTCCAGAAATAACCAGAAAAATATATCTTAGGGCCCCAAAAAGGCTCAAACCAGCCCTGATAGAAAAAAAACATTAAAACGAGAGCGGATTGTGGTTGGAGAACAGGAGCGTGGCAGGAAGTGGTGGGAAGCGGTACATGTATACAGAGTCATCGGGAGCAGAACAAAGGCAGGTATGCACAGGTGAACAGGTGCATTGTGGGCACCTGGAGAGGGCCAAGTCTGTGATTGGTCAGCAGAGAGCGTGGCATCAGTAGTTCCAAGGTGTCTTGGAGCAAGGGGTCAAATGTCAGGTGGGTTAACAGTGGCAGTGGGCAGGATCCAAGAGGAGAGTTCACAGAGACAGAGACAAATCCCAGCAGGCAGGTGTGTGTGTGTGTGTATGTTTGTGCAATAACTCTGACTCACAGGTTCTACTCACAGCAGGTGGTGGCCGCCGCTCAGGTGCAAACTACCCATTTTTAAGCAGCCGCTGCATGACTGTTGCTATGGAAACAAATGCACCACTGTAAATGGGGAGCCAGGGCTATTATAAATGTATAAATACATGAGAGGTTTTGCTTGTAACACCCCTGACTCAGAAAGAGGAAATAATCTGCTGCCAAAACACCTCAGAAATGTATTTGCTTTCTGTAAATGTTTGGTGTCTGTAAGTCTGTAAGTGGTGATGTTGGTGTAGTTTAAAGGATCCGTCTGGTGAAACTATTTTTATTCTTGTCAACACATCCACACCAAGACTGACAATCACCCACTAGCACTTCCCTGTGTGTATCACAGCTGATCTCTCTCCTCCCTCTGTGCCACACACACTGCCCTACTGCCATTAATACTCACTAGAGACAAAGTGTGGATTCATCCGCCACTGAAAATAGTTCCCAACAAATGCACTGTTTGATACAAACTACAGCATGCTCTTTAAAATGAAACTGTACTTGTGATTAGTTCTACTCCTCTTACAGACTAATCCATGGTTTCACCTCCGTCAACCGACCGCTGACCTGCTGTGAGTCGAGCCATCAGGACTGTGTGTGTGTGTGTGTGTGTGTGTGACCCTCACTGCTGGGTCAGGAGTAGGCAGGGTCATCATTCTCTGTGTTTACATGTGCACGTGTGTGTCCTCACAGCGGCCCGTGCTGTGCCTCATACTTGGCCAGGATGGTCTTGGTGCGTCCAAGCTCTTTCCTCAGGTCGGCCACCTCCTGCCTGAGGGCCGAGTTCTCCTTCTCCAGGAAGCCGGCTCGGATGGCGATCTGGTTCTCTTTGAGGCGCCTTGCGTCCCGGGACCGCTTGGCGGCCAAGTTGTTCTTCCTGCGCCGGGCCCAGTATTTGTCATCCTGCTCGAGCGATGTAAAGGAGGAGAGAGGAGACATCAGAAAAGGGATTTACTAGAAAAAAAGACAAATGTAAACAACCTGAGTTTGTTTCCACAGTTTTACCCATTAGTTGAGTCAGTAATGATAAAACATTGCTGACCAGTGTTAAACTGTGCAACAATAGTACAAGCACACAGACACATTTTTACCAAAAACAAAACCTAAGGAAAGGTTAGGATTACCTAAACCTAGTCTGGCTCTGCTGTGAACCACTGTGGTTATTGTTATCGAAAAATGTGACACTTCTACCTCTTCAGGCCTGTAACGTGGACAGTGTTCCCTTCTCACGTGTCGCAGGGTAAAAAGGCAGAACTACTGTTGGGAAGGTCTTATTACATTGTTTGCTATCTTTTCCAGACAGATACAAAGCTGTTTGTGTACAGATCCAACATGTTGATCAGTGAGCTGTGCAGGTGTATTTTTCAACATCAGACAGAGCATGGCTAGCCGTTTCCCTCTGCTTTAGGTCCTCATGCTAAGCTAAGCTAACCACATCCTGGCTCCAGCGCAGTACTGAACACACAAACATGAGGCTGGTATCAGCCTTCTTAACAACTCTGCAAGAAATCTAATAAAGCCATTTTCCAAAAGGTGGAGGACAACTACAACTCCCAAGGTGCATTCTGGGAGGATATATCTAAATAAGAAGCTGTAAATGTTGTTGATTAAAGAAAACTTGGAATTGGAAAACCACACAGCTGCTAGGGGATCACTGCAGCCTGCCACATCCAGGGAGACCTGATCAGAGGAGACTTCTGGATTGGTTCAGAGCGTCAGTGTCTCCCTGAACTCTCTGCTTTCACAGTCAGCGCTCAGCTGCTCAGCACTGCAGCCACGGTTTAGTTCAACCAATTAAAAGCTAAATCCTCTCAGCCTGACCTCAGCAAACAGTGCTGCACCCTCATTCACTCTGATGGAAGGCTCTTAACCAGGGGGACATGCCCACTGGAGCAGGACCCGGCCAATGGGAGAGCAGAGGTTCCCTGAAGGACAGGTGGATGAAACACAGCGGGCCACCTCTCCAGCCACTCGTCAACTATAATCAGCCTTAATGGCTCAGTCTGCCTGTCTGCGCTGTGAAGAAGTATCGGTTCTACATGTCAGTACTTCGGAGCAGTACTTTCTGAACTGGAGTGTAGGCATTTGGGTGCTTTGTCTATTTAAAAATGTAAACATCTAACTGAGTGGACTGACAGTGCCAGGGCTGTCGCCCTGTGCTGACGGAGAAGCAGTCAGAGGCTCTCAGACACAGCCAAGGCCACATCCTTCATCGCTGGGTCTTTCTTAACTTAGTCTCTCAGCTTATTTAAACACTGAGCATGTCGTATCTCTGTCATCGGCTGCAGCTGCTCTTGCTGCCACAGTGTGAAAAATCCTGGAGCTGTGGTTTTGGAAAGAGGAGCACCGTTGTCCACGTGACCCTCACCACCTCTGCAGAACACACAGATGTGGTGTTTGGCGAAGAAGAGTTCTCCTTAGGAAATCAAAGGTGTGTGCAAAGCTGTAAAGACCTTGTGTTGTTATCACTGTGCCTTCCAACTCTACTGAACATGATACATTAGTCTGACAGCTGGACTTCCTGTCACCGCTCGGAGTGGGATTCACAATAAACATATCAATTTTCCCCTTCCCTTTCCTATAAATGTCAAAACTGGAATTTTAACAGGTGAAATTTACTCTTCTATACATTCCTACCTTTATACTTAAGTATATATTTATCCAACACAGATGTAAGGCCCTGCTCAGAAGAAATAATGTGAACATGCACAATGACATGACAAGATTAAGGTTAACTTGACTAAGTTTTTGGTTCCTGTTTTGTTTCATTGTTGCTGGAACTGAATTTTTCACTTAAGATACACTATGTATTTCTCCCAGGAAGCCAAAGTTAAAACAAGATGATTTTAGGCTTTTGGCACAGATGAAGGAGACAAAGGAGCCATAGCAGAATTTACTCTGCTCTGAACCAACTCCAAATTACCTTCAGGTCATCTGGGATGAAGACCTTGCGAGCTTTCTTGATCATTGGCTGTGGTTTCAGCTCCTCAGCTGAGAACTTGCGTTTGCGAGGGTCAAAGATCTCCTGTCCCGGCACGCTAGACAGAGCCAGGTCAACCGGGTCAGGCTCGTACCCGACGGGAACCTGGATAGACTCTGGGTCGATGGGGCTGGGAGTGTTTCTGGAGCTCAGGAGGCCTGGAGGGAGACAGATGGGAAGCATGTCAACTTACAGCCGAGCCAGGAAGTGGAAACAAAGCCCACAGAAAAGCAGACACCATGCATTTCTGTGGCTGTTCACAAACATCACAGATTACCTGTGGTGAAAGAGGTCACAGTCTCCCGGCAGGACACATTTCAGCCAAGAGTGCTTGTGTACAGGTGCACAGGCAACAAAAAAACTCAGAGACAGAAGTGAAAAGTGTCTTATGACTCAGTTTGTGTATCATGTTATACACAGGAGCAGCTGATCCATGCTCAGCAGCAGTCTGGGCTCAGGTGTGTGTCATACTGTGGTCAGCGTGTGCTGGTTCTGATGACTCACCACAGACAAATGTATTTTTATGAGTATGTATTTTTTGATTTGTCACTTTCATAATATGTTACAGCCTTTTTTTTCTAGGTTTTAATTCATTATGTTGTATGTTTATTCAGTCCACTTGATGTTTGAACAAGTTTATGAAACAATGTAGATACTGATGTTCAGTTTTCTTCATTAATGTCATAAAGTGAAGCATCACATAAACTAAATTTCTGCATCAGTCGTTTCTTCCTTCATTGCTTCTTTCACAAGGTCTGAACATGAACATTACCTACGCAAACACATCTCGCTCTCACACAGGACAGAGATAACTCGACTGCCATCTTCCTTTGTGTCCTAAAAGTAGGTCATTGTGTGGTTTTTACTGCAACATCAAACAAAGACACAGTATATCTGTGTAATTATCCTGTAACCTGCAGCATTCATTCATTCACTGTCCTTCAGAGAGGAAACTCCAAACATTTTATTTCAGTAATTATTACGCTCTGTGTCTACTCGCTACACATTTTTATTTATTTAAGATGCAGACAAATAAAAACATGTAGAACTGCAGAGGCCATGTAGTCAGTTTACAGAAAGAGCATATGCTTAAAATCAGGGCACTGATATGAAAATAAAATGATGGACACTATATCACACTATCACGTAAGAGACCAACTAAATGTTTCTCAAGTTTGTACTACTTATTAACAGGACAAAGTATTACTAAAGGTAAGTAGACCAGAATAAGAAAGCTAAACATCAGGGCAGAGAAAAGCTTCTTCTGACATGGCAACATTTCCCTGCAGTAGCTGCATTTATGTATTTTAAATATGTAGAACTACAATCTGTCCAGTGTGGCTGTGCTACAGAGGCTGCAGTGCGGAGCTGCAGCCACCAAGTGGCGACACACCTGCTTGTGGATGTGAACAGGTGACAAACAGGAACCGCTGAACCATGAAAATGTGACTGGCTCAACCTGATACAAGCGTCTGGGAGGCCTCAGAGACCTGAGCTGCTCACGGACTCTGTCTCCTCTGTGCTCTGTGTCGGAAACCGTGGGCACAGGAACCTCGTGAATGTATGCATATTCATCCATCTCGCTCAAGGAGCCACAGGTCACTGATACATAGAGGATGAAAAGAATTTGCTTTGTTGTTTCTGCAGCTCAGTGCCTTTCTCACCCTAGACGCACAGGTAAGTTTCCTTCCCCGACATTGAACAGGTGTTATGTTCTTTTATTGTTTAAAAGAAAAGACCGAGGGAGGAAGCAGCGTAATCCGAGTCAGTCAGCTGACGTCATAACAGGTTACCTGCTCCTACATACGAGTATCACAGCGCTGTTTGCTCAGATGCCACATGGTGGCTTCAGTTTACCTGGCACGCTCCCAGCCCGTGTTTCCACAGACAGGCCTGCTGGTGTTTGTTCATGTATTAGAAGCTCCTCGTGAATCAGACTCACGCCAGTCACTCTGCTTCATCAAAACAAACCCAGGCAACAGTTAATACAACACACGCCAGCTACGTGTACGCGCGCAGTGTTTCCTGGGTCTCTGTAGACTGGCAGCGCTGCTTTCACTGTGTGCGCGGTAGAAGTGCCTGTTCACAGAAAACGATATAAACCGTATAGTAAAAGTGAAGCCAGCTGTTTGTTCTCATCCAGCTGTTTGTCCTGCTGAGGAGCTGCTGCTGGTTTACAATGCACCTCCGTTGCGCCTGCGTGACTTTAGGTGGTGACGGCAACGCAGTGCATGTGGAAGCTCAGTTATGCCAAAAATAGAGAAACTAATTAGACAAAATAGTGATGACAGTAATAAAAGCTCCAGACTAATGAGAGCAGGTCACGTGTTTATTAAAACAAGTCATAATTATAATTCAAGTCATTTTATAAGTTCCCATAAAAGGTTAATATGCCAAATAAATTTTCTAAAAATATTTTTAAACTTATTGACTTTAAATTATGTTTTTGAATTGTTTGAATTATAATCTAATAACTTGGTTTACATACTTGGATTACAAGAGTTAATTTTGAATCCATTTTGTCATAGTGTCTCATCAGGTGGGCTAAAAAAAGACTCATGAATGTTATTTTTGCCTGTTTTTTAATCTATGTTGCTATTTTCCTCAGAAGAACAAACTTCTTTGTACTTCTTAAAAGTACAAACAATAAACAATTGTTTTAAAGACAAGTAAATGAGCTGCGTCCCAAAACAAAAACCCTGTGACCTGTGAACAACCTGCTTTGTTCTTTTGTCTTCAGAGCTGCCTTTACAGCAACCACTCCTCCTGCAGCTGATGAGATGTGAGGACACGGGGAGCGAAGCCAACACTTGGCTCCACACAATCACAACCGACACGAGGGAGTCACGAGCCAAGATGACTGAGAGCAGCCCTGGGAACAGGCCGTTGGCTTTTCCTGTCCAGCACAGGTGTGTGTGTGTGTACGTGTGTGTGTGTGTGTGTGTGTTGTGTGTGTGTCGAGGGGGTGCAGCGGCCTCCGTGAAGACCAACAAAAAATGTAATTATTCGATTAGTTGTGAATTTTTTGGTCATAGCTTATTAAAAGTTGTGATCTCCTGCTGATCTTTGAACGATTTTGGACCGCTGGATGAATAAACAATATAAATAACTTATGGGAAATGTTAACAGGCATTTTTACGCTATTTTCTGACATTTTGATTTTGTAGAACAATTTATCCATAAGGAAAATAACTTGTTGGTTGCAGTTTCAGTGTAAACAAACCATTAAATCTGTGAAAACAAAGATGACAGAATTATAGAGAATGTGGACAGGACAACAACAAGGTGGATCAAAATATCCAGGGTCTTGAAGAGGAACTTTGTTTCCTGCTCTGCGATGCTGAAATGTAACTACACCTGAACTCATTACTAGGACGAGCTCATGCATCTCCCTCTGTTACCTGAGCAGAGCCCACGGTGGGTTAAAATGTCACTTTAAATGTAAAGACAGCTGACGTTGGTTTAAGGCACCCGGGGAGCCTGCGAGGCGATGTCAGTGAAGTGCACGCCAGCCTCTGTGGGGCCTGAAACACCAGGAAGCAGCAGGTAATCACCAGCCGTGACTTTTCTGACTGTGTGCCTGTGACTTGAACCCAGCGCTGGTGACTGGCGGAGGTGGAGGAGCAGATGGAGGCTGAACTGCAGCACATGATGAGCCTCGCTGCCTCGGACGTGATGCCGACAGACTTCCTGACACGTGCATGTGGAACATGAGCCCCGGTCATCACCTGCCTGCTTGCAGCTCTTGATCCTTCCAGTTTATCCTTCATCATGTGCTCACAGCTACCATGATACATGCACCTCCTGTGTTTCTGCATGTTTACTCATTATTATCACCTGTACCTGATCATTACTGGTCTGTTGCAGATTGTAGTCTCACGCTTGTGAGATCGGACATGCTGCCAGGAGTCAACAGCTCATAATGACAAAGTAGAAATGAGCTTTTAGACGTTTTTGCACATGTGAAACTTTAGAAACAGTTTTACCCCCTTGTCCTGAGCCAATTGCTAGAGGGAGAGTACCAGGGTCTTTGTTACAGGTATTCTGTGAAACTTTCTTTCTTTCAGAGAAAGAAGAGAAGAGAAGTTCAGTAGCAGTCTCACAAGTTACGCGCTGGAATGTGAACTGACACCACTGCTGGTCAGAAAGCGTCGGACAAAGTACTAAGACACTTTAGTGAAGTAAAAGAGGCAATGCCACAGTGAAAAAATACTGTTACATTAAAGTCCTGAATTCAAAGGGTTAGTAAGTACAGACGCACTATCAGCTAAATGTACTCAGTCTTAAAAGTACTCATCATACAGACATATGTAGAAGGTGTGACAAGGTGACTAACTACTTCAAATGATGCTGCGTTATGTTTTACAAGCAGATCTCTTGTGTATATCAAATATCAATACAAATACCACAGCTGTGGCATAAAAGTAATGGAGTAAAAATGAAATGTAGTGCGGAGTAGAAGGACAAAGCGGCAAAAAAGTACAAGCATCAAAACTGTACTCAGGCAGTGTACTTCCTAAAGATGTAAAGCACTGATTTGGAGGAGAAATAAAATGTGCAGTAAGAGGAACCACATCACTGCAACAGAACAGGACTTTACTCTCATCCTCGCTTGTGTTTTGTGAAACACTGGACACTCAACCCCTTCAGGTCTAAATCCGCGTTAGCTGTGACCACTGTTTTTATCAGCTCATCTCTTCTCTACTCAGAATGTGGACTGTCAGAGGAACACACAGATCACAAGCTACAAGAACAGTCTGGGACTATAAGAAATAAAACACAAACTGCACGAGTTGAGAAAATAATCGTTTAGATTTCCTTGTACTATCTTGGGCAGGTGACACTGCTGAGCACAGATGGCGGCTGGACTTTCAGACTGCAGTGTGGACAGAAGGAGGCGGCGGCAGTGGAGCGCCTCCGGCCAGCGAGCAGGGTGAGGATGTTTGTGCGCCTTCGGTCCCTGCGCCTCCTCAGCCAGTTTGTTGTTCATTCCCTGCTGACCCCGGCTGTTCCTGCCTCCTTATCTGCTGCACGGCCATGGGGGAATGCAAATATGCCAGATTATGCCACAGGCTGCTATATTTAGACAACAGAGCAGCAGATTAAAGCTGGGCTCCTGGGTGAAACTACTGTTTGGTGCTATTGTGCAGAAAGTTCTGAGGGAAGGAAATGTTCCAGTCCTCTCTGCAAAACACTGACTTTACTTGAGTGCAGCCAGAAGAAGCTTGCTAACATTAATGCATTAAAGATGAAAAAATCCTCAGGCCTTTATCGGGCGACAGTGGTCGTATGAAACTATGTAGCTTTAGTTACGTTGTTTCATTAGGAACCTTGGACAGTTCTGGCTTTCTGGTGGTATTTATTAAATCATCATTTTGTTTTTCATCCCACTGTACACTCCTACAGTCATACAGAACTCCTGGTCCTTGTGTTTGGCCTTTTGTTTTACTGATACGGTGTGATTTGAAATTTTGTTTCTCTTTATAAATCATAAAGGAATAATTTTAGATAAGTTCTCTTGTTAGAAAGGAAGTGTCAGTTATAAAGCTGCATGCTGTAACAATACACAAATCACTATTCGGATCAAATGACACTGTCTGTGCCTCTCGTAGTAAGAAATGCTTTTAGCCTTTTTTAGGTGCTAGTTTTGGTTTTCTGGCCTACAAACAGCAGCAGCTGTTTTCATCAGACAGACTCTGACAGAACACTGCGTCAGAGACCAGCAGGTGAACATACCGCAGGCCGAGCAGCTACAGAGCCATACGCCTCCCTCAGGAGGTGGTGGAGACCAAACAGCTTCTAGTCCAAGGCCGCACTGCTGTTTCAGATGCATCCGAGTCAAGCTCTGGAGGTTCAGCATTCAGGTTTTGTGAGCTTTTCTCTCTTCGTCTCCACCCCAAAATCCATTTAGTGTTTTTGTTACTTTATTTGGTTGTTTGAGCTTCACGGTGCAAAACCAACATGTGAGATTCTGACAGCAGAAAGACCATTACAGCCTTTAACACCTGGACGTACCCGCAGGGCTGATGATATCATAGCCAGTTTGGAGCCCATCACAGCCCAGTATGCATCACACACTGGGAACTGGGGACTTGTGATTGAGGGAGAGACGTCTTGTGTGAGTTCAACATTTGAAATGAATGAAATTTGCATATCCAGGTTTTTCCATGAGGGAGGAGATGTAACTTTAAGATATCATTAACGAGCTAACTCAGCTGTTTGGTGGAACAAAGATATTATTATTGAAGCAGATCGGTTCTGGAGAATATCAACATGTTAAAATATCAGCTCCAGGAGTGGTCTTTAAAAACATCAGGTGAGCTCTTGAAAACAAACCTGCTGTTGTCCTCCAAACATGAACTCTATGAACTGCGCTCTGAGCCGGGACGGCGACTGTGCACTGCAGCCCTGTGTGTGTTGTGATTACCGTTTGATGTGAATGTAAACAGAGCTAGAAACGTGTGTGGACTGAGGGTTGCCGCCCCCTGGCCTATTTGTGCCGAGAACACTATGTTCCTAAAACTGATCTCATGCAGGGATGGGTGCACGCACACACGCACACCAGCAGTCACATGTCTGTGCATGCTGTGAGAGCTGCCTCTCTCTCAAAAACATGAACAGGGAGCGAGTAAAAGACAGAGTGGATGCTGCTGCCTTCTCACACACACACACACACACCCATCCACCATCTGCTGAGGTGATGAATCTGACACCTCAATCATTCATGGCCTCTGGGCCAGACATGCTTTCCGCGCAGCGCCAAGTGAGCCATGCCAGTCTGAGAGTTTCCCCTGTGTGAGGTCAGATCTCGTCCCAGTCCTCATCCCAGTCTTACACCAGGCCAACCGCAACCAGATCGGTCCTTATTTGAGGTGCAGCATGAGCAGGATCCTGATTAATTAGCTGATTGATCCACAATCTGGCTCCAGAGAAGCTGCGGCTTCTGTTCGAGCAGAAGGCCGACTAAAACATGCAGTGTGAGCTAACACACTGTACAAGAGCTATGAAAACTGCTCAGCCCCTGCCCAGAATCCTGCAGCATTTTGAGGCCACAGGAAGGTCAGGGATTTGAACTTTGCACTCAGCGTTAAGAGTGTTAAGAGTGTTTTCTTTGCATAGTGAAAAGAATCCACAACAGATTGGCAGGCAGGACAGCGGGAGGCCAACAGAGTTACATTACCATTACTTCTACATTAGTAGTCATCAAGTACATTACTACATTACTTCTGGATCTGGACTCACTATACGCTGACTGGATCCAGAGGAGGACGGATTGCTGCAGACCCCACCCACCCAGGCAACAGTCTGTTTGTGCCTCTTCCTTCCAGGAAAAGGTGCACAAAACAAACAGACTGACACAGCTTCTTCTCCAGAGCTGTGAAATCAATCACTCCCCCTAACCCCCAGTCACTCACACACACAACCTCCCCCCTATGGACAGACACAGACAGAACACCAGACCTCTGCAGACACACACCCATGCTCTACCTCCTCCTAAAGGCTGAGATTTGCACTGAGCTGCACCTTATAATGTTACTACACTCTGTTGCTGCTAACATGCTGCTGACCTGATTAGGTCCCATACATCCCTTTTTATTTGTTCATATTTTTATATTGACTTATACAATTTTGTGTTATGTAAGTAATGTGTCTTTTAAACCAAGAGCTGCTGGAAAAAAATTTGTTGTGTTATGCAATAAAGATTCTTGACTCTTTATAATGTAAAGGCTGAATGTAAACTAGTGGCTGTGACCAGCTGTGACACAACAGCGTGATCTGTCGCGCTGTAGGTATGTGTGCGTACCCATGTTACCTGCTCGTGCCGGGCTGCTGTGCAGGCAGTTCGAGGAGACGACACCAGTGTGTACAGAGGTGGAGGCGTGGTTGCTGAGGTCCATCACTGAAGGTGCCGGTGTGGGTGGTGCTGGGGGCATGATTGACGGCTGACGTGACGGAGCGTGTGGCTGGTGTTGGTCGTGGTGGTGGTGGTGGTGCGCAGGGCTGGTGGGGATCCCGTTCTCAGACAGAAACTCTTCCAGGTCCATGTACTCCAGCTGGAAGGTGTCCCCGTCGTAGGGCAAGGTCTTGTCCCACAGTGTGGGGCCCAGGAAGGCGGACTGGGGGGCACTGCGCTCATCCTCCAGGTTCTTCTCCTTCTCCTTGCTGAAAGCTGCACAGGAGGACAGACAGGCCCAGTCAATGCAAAAACACTGGGCAGGACTATGGAGACATGACCCCCTTTTTATCCAGTCCAGTCTGGACTTAAAGGTGCCAGCAGGTCCCTGTTTGCTTTGCATCTCATGCACTACTAGTACATGCACATGAGAGGTACACCACCAAAGATCCTTGAAGCCAAGCTACAAAACATGTTGTTTACCTTTTCCCTAGCTGTGCGATTTCTTCCATTTTTGATATTTTATATTTTCCTGGGGATTATTTGAGCAGAAGGACGAGTGAACATTTACAAAGTGCAAACAAGCAGACGAGTCTGAGTAGAAATCTGAAGGATCAGAAGCTTATCTCGTCTTGTGTGAAATACTCATTATCAGCTCGAGGCCTCGCAGTGAAACAAGAAAAATCGGCCTGGAGTCAAACTGACCATATGTGGCCAGGTCACAACCATGTGGGGAAACGAGCCACAGAGGCTGGGAACTAGAGATGGTCACGTAACCATTCAGCTGGTTTCTAGGGTTTCTTGACTCGTGCTCTCTACACTTGGGTGGTGACGACCACTGTGCAGAAATCCTGGCTCCAACACTGATGGATGTTGTTCTGCTTGACCAGGTCAGTAGCCTCCGCTGAGGCCACTGAGGTCTCAGCCTTTACCATGTTTCTTTCACAATGAGTTCATGTTGTGATATTATGCTCATGCTGCACGTTGAATCAGACCAGTTGTGACCGTTTTCAGAGCAAAGACAGCAATAAAGTGCAGAGAAGGCTTTGAAACAAGAGCTCAGAACTGAAACTACTACTACATTAATCAGTGAGGTGATCGACACAAATCTATCTGATCTATAACAAAATGGAATCCTGATTATTTTTTACAAAGGTTTTAGAGTAAAAACACTGAAAACTCTGATTTCAGCTGTTCAGATGTGAACATATTTTGCTTTCTTTGTCTGATGTGACAGCGCATGAAACACCTGCAGGCCCTGGGACTTTGGAGAGTGACCTGAAGACTTCACCCAGGGCTCTGGACAACAGTGACGGGCAGTTTTCACTAATGGCGCTCTGACATTTCTTTGAAACATTAATCAGTCAAATAAATATCAATTGATGATAACACATTTAAACTGAAGGGAGATCAAATATATCTGAACAGTTCTATGTTACAGTGAATTTTTTATATACTACTGACAAAATCCTGCAGGGGCTGATCCAAAGTGTCTCAGGTGAGAGGGGCTCTGCTGGTGGCCGCGCCGGAGGAGCAAACACATGATCCCACTGTTAGTATTGCTGACCTGGACACCTACAGTCCCTATGTGTTATCATCTTCACTCATTAGTCAAACATTCCCACTGCTTATGACAGGAAACTCACATTTCTGGTCTGTCTGACAGCAAACGAACGCCCTGCCAAAGTTTTCGCCTGAGGCGCAGACCCACTGTCACAGCAGCCTTCTTTACATTGAGCTTTAACATCCGACACTGGTTCAAAGTGCACAGAAACGTTCGTCATGCTTATCATTACAATACAGTGCTGACAGCTGAGCAGCAGCAGCATGACCCGGATTCCTTTTAAATCAAGCCTCTCTAGAGACTCTGCGTCCTAAGCCTGAACATTAAACTCCGGGTAATCTAAGCAGGCAGTAAAGGGCCGTGGCCGCGTAGAAAACGCATCAACGACACCGCTTCTTTTCCAACTTCACCTTCATGGTGCAGCGGCAGCTTTGTCGGGTTCTCCAGCAGAGACTTGAGCACTCCGTGCGTCGCTGGAGGGAGAAAACTTGGATTCAGCGGAATGGGATGTCGGGACATCTTCTCCAGCGCGCCTCCTTGGATCTGGAGCCGGGGATCCAGTCTACCAAAACAACCCAGACACAAAAATTAGACAGAAAAGGGAGAAGTGTGAAGCAGCTGTTGCGGCGCAGCCCTCGGCTCTGGAGCTACATGGGAACACGACGAGCGACGCTGAGTCAAAGCCCTTGGAAACAAGCCGTGTGCTGGGCGAAGAAGACGAAGCCGCGCGGGACGTGCGCAGGAAGCGTGGTACAGCGTCTGACCGGGCTGCGGGAGGCGCACACAGCGAGCACCGATCCCATGTGTGAGGGGGACGGAGGCTGCTGACGTCATACCCGCGCCTCCCAACCTCCACACCCTCCTCCCTCTCTCTCTCTCTCTCTGTCTGTCCTCTGTCCACACGCACACCTCAGAACAGATGTGCATGTTTATCATCGTGGTTTTCTTTAATCAAACTAGCAAGGCTGAAACCACCGACTGTCCTCACTGTCCTCCGACTGTTCAGTGACACAAAGCAGGACTGAACCAGACTGAACCCACAACCACAGTTACCTTTTTCTATTTTACTTTGAAGGCAGCTTTATTTTCAGCATCCTCTTTCAAAGCCTTCTCTTCTGTGCCAGAAATCATTGACACTGTGCTGTATTTATTTATGTTTTTGTTTGGCTAAAATAGTGAGATTTAAACCCACAGGATCTAAAATACTGATATCAGGCTACAAAATTCACACAGTTTGTCAGTTTTTCTTCATGTGTAAACTAGCCCAGTCTCCAAAGGTCCAGGTGGTGCATAGTTTATCAATGGCCCTGCCAGCGAAGGCCCTGGATGTGCAGGCAAACTGTGAACATGTGTGCAAACAGCCAGTGCAGCACACACACAACCTTGTGCATGTCTGTTGTGCACATCTCCCACACTTCTTTCTCCATTACACTGCTGCAGAATTGTTCCCTATGGACAAAAATCCTCCAGACACCGGATGAAATTTTGGCCTAAACGTAGCCAAGTGTCAGTATTCTGGATCTCCAAACACTAAAATCAGCCAGCATGTGTTTGCACTGCTGGAGAAGGAATCAGCAAAGTTAATGAAGTGTTGTGTCCTCATAAACCCTGTTTTTGCAATGAAAAAGATGATTTTGTCCCATCTTTAATAAGTTTAATTTGAGAGTTTGTTCCATTCATGTTCTTTTAACATTGGTTTATTTGAGATTTTCTTTCTCACACACAGCCTGCAGACAGGAATGCAGGGTCACATGAGTGGGCCAGATTGACCTACTTTCATCCAATGAGAGGCCGTCGTCTCCCTCTCTCCAGCCCCCTGCAGCATGGTCACACTGAACCTCGTGTGCTCCAGAAGAGTGAAAAACAAATTCAGCAAGGAGAGGAAACAAGGTGAGGAGGGGGGGAAGAGGAAACCGGGAGAGGAGAGAAGGAAACAAGAAGAGGTGAGGAAAGGTGGAAGCAGGAGAGTATAGAGGCCCCATAAAACATTGTAAGTTCCCTTTAATCTGAAGCCAGAAAAGTAGGTCTGTGGAGGGTTTACCTGTGGCACAGTGACACAAAAGCAAAGCAGCACAAAGTTCTCCAAATGAAATACTGTGCATCTAAATTTATAAGAGAATTATCGTAATAATTTTACACAAAAATGGCATGAAGCCTGAATACGCTGTAGGTGCCAACAAAGATGCTTGATGGGAGATGAAAAGGTGCTACGTAGAACAAGAGACGTCCCAGTAAAGTCACCAGTGACTGTCATGCCCTGACTTTAAACAGAGCTGTCTTTCTCTGCTCTGATGCTGTGGCCGCCTTCAGTCACAGTCCTTATGCAAACAGCAGCTAAACAGCACATGTGACTCGCTGCCGGTTAAAGGAGTACTCAATCCCTGTCGGCCTCGCGCTCATTAAAGCTTCCTTAGCAACAGCGGTTGCTAAAGCACAGTGATGTTGTGACAGCCTTTGTGAGAGAGAGAGAAGTAGGACAGGGCTGAGACACGCCTCAGAGCGGTGACTGGGCCAAACATGGCCCGGACTCGTCCCGTTAACTTGCTGCCCCCACCTGACGTGCAGTGTTCAGGTCCTGTGCAGTAATGAGTCCACCTGTTCAGGTAATCAGGATTCGCCCCACTGTGAGTGCATCACAAATGTGCACTTACTTTTAAGGGAAGTGTAGAAATAGTGAAGCTGCTATAATAAAAATGGATTCAGAGGCAGCATGTTGTGAAAGGTGTTGCTCCTGTTGATGAGCCCACAGAGATTCATCACCAACTCTGCCGGTGTTTTAGGCTCTGCTCCCATCTCAGGCCTTAATGCGCCCGATGTTTCAGTCAGATCTGAGATCCCGCTCCTCAAAGCCTCCACAAACAGAACAACACCTCCATGTTTTACTATTAGTGGACAAAAATTCTGTGTTGTCTTTCATACAAATGGAGCTCATACAGCTCTACAAATGGTTAAAGAGATTCATAACACCAGTGGTTTTTTGGTGCCATCAGTCACATCTGTCAGTGAATTGGATTTTCCTCCTAAAACAATAGGATTTGTCTCCAGGCTAATTAATGCTGAGCAGGTGACCTGGAGAGCTGACATTCCAAAAGGACAGGAAAGGGTTGATGAAAACTGTCCCTCTGGCATCGATCTGGCCTCACAGTGACCTGATGCTAACATCGACCAGAGGTCAGTGAGCGTGGTCTGCATGATGCACTCATTGTCCAAGCACAGCAGGTGTCTATAGCTTCATGAGAGGGGAAATCAATACTCGAGGCCCCAGGCACGAAGAATATTAGCTGGGCCCTTCCACCGGCGCACACACTGCAAATACAATCACTCACGGCACACATACCTTCACACACTGCAGCTTCATAAGTGTGTCCCTTGATGACGCTTCAGCAGAACCGTCCTGTTATTACAGACTTGAACTGTGCTGCTCTCAGATACAGATGTCAGCAGAGCCAGACAGAAGGATCCGTCAACAGCAGTACATGAAATGCAGAGACCGGTCTCTGTATCGACACCCTCCATGACATAACAAGTTACAATGTGAGGACGCAGTGAGCCAGTCATTAAATCATCACAGGGATTTTATTAAGCTTTGTCTTCTTTATGTTTGATACTGGACTGACAGCCTGAGCTGTGTTTGCTTCATGTCCAGGCTCAGTGACAGAAACAACGACTGCACCCCTACGGTCGCCAGACAAACATGGCAGCAGCTGCTTGAAGATGCAGGTACATTACTGATCTGACAAGTATTGTTTGGACAGGTGCAGGTACTGAGTGATTCGACAGGAGGCCGCAGAGCAGAGGGCTGTGGTAAACAGACACTCTCTGCCCCTGCTGTTTAGGCTGAAAATGGACAAATGAAAACTACAGATGGCCTGCTCTGTCATTGTGCTGACTGGCTGTTGTTTACACTCACTGTGTTTGTGCTTCAGGTGCTGCAGAAAGGAAAAGCCGGTCCTGTTAGTTTGGACAAGGAAATTTGAGGCTCCATTGAGGTCCAGAAGAGCTGTTCAAAGGCAGGAATGTAAACCTTCTCAAAACAGCTTCATCCACTGAGAAAGCCTTCCTGTGACCTATGAATAAAAACATCCCGACTGTTCTATGAACCAGCCTGCAAGGCTGTAGACAGCGTCAGCAAAGGCCGGGGAGGAAGGAGAGACAAAGGAGAGAGAGTGGGTTGATAGCAGCTCGATGTGTAGTGGAAGAGATGAAGAAGAAAAGTGGCTGATGTCCAAAGCAGCCCGAAACCTTGTTCCTCAGAGTTACTGTTGTCTGTTTTGTTTCACTGAGGTATTCAGCAAATCAGTGGCCCAGGGAGCTTTACAGAAACAATCCAGATACAGTCGGTGTGTTCTGACCCTGAACGTTTGTTAAACTTATTAAATCACTTGGAAAATCCTTGGTAGTGTTCAGCACAAAAGGAGAATGGAAAACAAAGTTGAACATATTTTGCCAAACCGTCATCTTTAAACTGTGGCACAACATGCCCCTGCACACTTCTCAGACTTTTCTATTTGTGCCCTTCCTCACTTTTACTGATTCAGCTGGATCTTCATGCTACGGTCTGTGCAAGCATGGCCTTCTTAATGCCCAGAGGTCAGACAACAGGGTCTGAGCTGATAAAAACTTTCACACACTCACCTGAGTTGTGCGGCTCTGCCAGGGCTGGCTGCAGCCTGAGAAGGAAACCTACAGTGCCCAAGACTTTAAACAACTATTCTTCACATCTCTGTCTCTGTGGTCAGGCTGGATCTCCGGTCCGTCGCCTCACTGTCCTGCTCTGACAGCTCTCGAGGTCGGAGGAGGCCCTCCCTGTTCAACACAAACAATGGAGTGAACCTGCTGGGGCTCTGGGTTTCCTAGGTGGCATCTCAGTCCAAATCCACAGCCTTTCTAGTGGGACAGGCTCATTCGAGGCTTTTGGAGGATCTGGAGTCAAAGTGAAACACTGTCATTCCTTTGCTGTGCCACTAGCTCAGCTAAGAAAAGCTGAACAATATACCAGCATGTCACCAACAGCATACTGTCCCCAGAGAAAGTAATGTAAATGTAAGGGCCACAAGGAAATGGAGACATGCTCTGCCTGGGCGCTCAGTCGCCGAACAATTCAATACAGAGTTACTTATATACAACACAAATGTTAAAGGTGATTTTATCAATTAGAATAGAGACACAAGTCAATAACTCTATATTTCTTTATATACTCTAAAGTTACAAGGTGCCAAAGTGAACACAGAACTGGAAAGGAACGGGAGAAATGCCAAACGCCCTGACACCTGCTCCGTCTGGTGTCTCACAGAGCTTCACACTCTGCGTCCATACAGCAGCTTCCCGCCTCTGGTCAGCAGCCGCAGTCATGTCTGTACACACAAGACTACTGTGATGAGCGGAGCGCATGGGATTACTCTGCTTCCTGGGGACAGCACAGGTGACAGGAAGTTCACGTGAGGTTACTGTAGACTAGTGGTGAACAAAGTTCAGCTGTTGATGATGATGTGTTTTACTTGTACGGAGTATTTTTACACCACACTCTGACTCAGCCAGATTAACATCACACACATGCCCAGCATGACAACAATGTGATGATCGCCCGCAGCAACAGGATGCACACACGTTGGTACTCCTATTTTTCTGAGGACTCTCCGGAATGTAATGCATCCCCTGCTCCCTGACCCCACCACAACACACACACTTTAAAAAGGACCAGATTTGGGTTTTTTGGAGGTAATTTTTGATATTTTAACAGGATCTGAGCAAAGCAGAGATTATGTTTACCCAGTTCAAGACACAGAGAATGATTAAACACCATTTGGACTGAAACAGAACTTTTTATTTGCTCATTTCTCTAATCCAGTCACACCCAGAGTTAGTCATGCTGGAAGTGTCTCTCTCCAACTACAAGTTGCATGGTCTTTTAACGTTCATATGTGCTGTTGCTTCATTCTCTTGAGATACAGAAGACTGTGGGGACTATTTTCAGGAGCGGATGATTCCACATTTGCTCTTTAGTGAGTATTAATGGCAATGTGGTCACTGGTGTGGACACAGTGGAGTTCTGTGGCTCAGAGGGAGGAGGGAGCTCAGGTTGTCATACTTGTTAGGAGGAGACATTCAGAGGCTGTTGGACTCTGTCATGAAGAAAATATAGTAGATGCCCACATGAACCTTTTCATTAGGATGCAGATCTCAAATGTCAAATGAATCAGAAGCCGTAAATATTTTTAAACTGATTCACTCTGTAGCTGCATTTTCATCAGTGGAAAACACAGGTTATTACTGTTTGGTTGCAGACCAAGTCTGTTCCTAGGGAGGTTCTCTTCTGGATCCGGTTCCATGCTGGTAAAACACCCAGCTTTGTATCAAACCTTCCATTCATGTTCTCTGTATAGCTAATGTCTGTAAGAGTCCAACATGTTCTCCGGTCTACCACCGGTGCTACCCCTCACTCTGTGACCATACTGTCAAACTACAGAAGAGTGTCTGATGCACAGAAAGAACCAGTCTCTGTATCCGTCTGGTGATGGAGTGAGTCACTCCTGAGATGAGAAGTAGAGGCAGTTGTTGAAAGTTGACTTCTGTTGTCTAACATGAAGCTGAACCACATTGGCAGTGTGTTTAATGAAGAAAAAGCTACAGCCACCCTGAGAGCATGTAACCCTGTAAATGTATGCTGCAGATGAATGTAATTTATAGGAGATGTGGTCGTCATGGCAACGGTGTCTGAGTTGCTGCTTGCAAACAAGAAGTGAATGAGCTGCGTGTGTGCGAAGTTGCTCAGCCTGCTGATTGCTTGTCATGCAGTGTGTGGTGAATGAAGAAAACCAAGTGTTCTACAGATACAAGCTTTGCCATTTTAAAGCAGAACACGTATCCAGGCAACAAGAGCCCGCTACAGGTGACTGTGATGAGCACACTGGCAGACGTCCACAGGCTGTGAGCCTGGATCAGACTGACCCAGTTTCTCTCTGCACTGTGACGTGGTTTAGTCTGTCCGTCTCCATTATTTCTAACAGGACACCGTGAATGACCCAGGATGGCTTCTCTTGCCGCCTGAATCACGGCCGTTAATTATGTAACTGTGCCCGCGTCCTCCCACCGACGCTCACACGTGGAGGGAAATTAGGTGATTGTGTCAGAAACACACTTCCTGCCTTCTGCATGCCAATTGCACTGAAGAAACAATAGGCAACAAAATATAATAAGTGATGTTTCATGGGCACAAAACATCCCCTACTCCCAGTCTGCTTGGCCTGACCACAGAGGCACCTTGAACTAAAGGCAGGCTCTGAGGCATCACACGTTCCCAGGCCTTCTGTGCTACCCTATATGGCTCAATGTCCCATAGCCCTTAAACTATCCACCAGCATGCTGTAGTTTCTGAGATCCCTTCAAAACTTTTGGACCCCTGACTTTCTTGTATTTGTTGGCAACAGCATGCTGTCATAACCCCCCAAAACAACCTGATGGCTCTGTGTAATTGCTGAACAGCTCCAGAATCCTTGAAACCAGTAACAGCATTCCCCTGAACTGCACCCCAGCTCAGTGTATTTGCTGGGATGAATGAAACCACTGCACTCACCCTGAATTACTGCAAAGAGCTATTCTCAGGTTGCCTGGACCATTCACCAGCTCCGTGAAGAACTACACTCTCCCAGAGAAACCGCCTGGGTCTGTGCATCTCCTGGAAACGCTCCAAACTCCAAGGTCTGCTGAACTAGCAGCTGCTTCAGCTACGGTTATGTGTATTTGATGGAGTAAGGTTCACAACAGCCTTTAAGGACAGTGCAGGTGTTTTAACAACAAACCATACAAACATCCTAAACACTACACTTTATAAACTCACTTTCCTCCCTGCCTACAGTCACACTGGGTCCAGCTCCAGAAGACACTTCCTGTTGGTACATTCAAGGACGCCTTTACGTTTAAGCTTGGAGTGTCGGCTGAAGAGCCATGTTTTTAGAACAGCACAGTGTGCCTGCTGTTCGACTCCCAGGTCTGGGCTTGTGACAACACAACAACACGTCTTCATCAAGCTTTGACATAAACACAAAATTGTATTTTGCTTTTGTGTCTCAAGCAAAATGCAACACCTGAAGCTTCAGCAGCTGCTTCATTTAATGACACCGGTCATACTGTATCTTGGTCAAACAGACTAACCAGATCAAGCCTTTCCACCTGGAATAGTTCAGAAATTATGACCATGTCTAGCACAGTTTGATCTTCACACAACTGGGCCTCTTTACTAAAGAGGACTCATCCTATGAAGACAGTGTGGTGGAGAATATTTACCCTGACAAAGACAAAGGATAAACAGCAAGTAGCTCCACACATGATTAAAGCGTCCGGAGGCTCCAGCCTGGCTGCTGGTTTCAGAACTGGATCTCTGTAGGTCCACATTAAAATCACTGCCTTCCTCCCTTCCTTCCCTGTGTTTGTAGGTGAGGGAGGTTTTCAGGATTTCTCCTCATGAGCTCTCTGATGATATGTCCAGACTCTGATCTAGTGCACGTGTGCACGAGCATCCAGCCGCTTAACCACAGAGCTACACAGTGAGCAAATTCAAACCTACAGTGACTGGCAAACACACAACATTATAACTATGACACCTTCTATTCTTTTGTAATGCTTGTTAGATGAAGATATTTACTGATGGCACAGAGGGAGAGGGCGGGGAACAAAAGGACTACACCAACATTTCAGGAGTTTGGTCCATTCCTCACCAGACCTTCGTGAACAAACTGGCCACAGTTGGAGATTTTCACAAAAAAGTTGAAATATTTTCAGAAAAAAGCTGAAAAAGTTGAAATTTTGTATTATGTAGATTGTTTATTTTGTTAATATAATAATAAACGTGAATCCACTGTGTTGAAAACTTTAACTCCCCATAACGTTAAATCAAGGGGAGCCCTGAGCTCGTTTCTCTGCAACGAGACGGTCCCATCTGGGGGTAATAGGAGACAATGACACCCGAAGTGTGTTGCTTATGTTCAGTCTACTCCGTTGTTTTGTTTTGGTTGCTGTCACTGCAGAAAAACCCGCTTCACACAGATAGGATGTCGGAAATGGCAACAGGGTTTTCAGTGCTGTGGTGGCGATCTCAGGGTATTCTTTCATGACTTTAATCCAGAACACCGACAGAGTTGTTGTCTCGATCATACTTTTAAGGCCGCCGCGGCCCGGTACCAATTGATCCACGGACCGGTACCGGTCCGCGGCCCGGGGGTTGGGGACCACTGTTTTAAACCATTTATATTAAAAGGATGAAGTCTACAACAGCAAAATGTAAGTTGCATCAAAATAGTTGTAATTTGAGACATAAATCATCATATTTTAGAAATCTGTTCTAAAACCTTTGTTTATTCAGGGTAGGTCCTGTGAGAGGCCATCTCTGTTCCTTCATGTTCACACCAGAAAGCTCCGCAGTAGGACCACAGACCTGTGGCCATTGAACAGCTCCACACTGGTCCTGCTGGTCTCAGGACTGAACCGGTGACCTTCCAGCCACAGCCTCACTTCTCGAACCCCGAAATGAATCATTTAGGAGAAAAACATAATTAATGACCTTTTTCTTAAAACATTTCAAATATTTCTCCAATTTCTTTTCCTAAAAATGGTCTGGAAATTTCGTCGTGCGACCTGATGATTCCTGTTTTTCCTGATCTAACAAGCTGCTCCTCACTGGTGACCTCTCACCTTCAGACAAACTGTGAAACCTGTGATTTCTAAAATGTTGGAAGCATCAGTCTCATCACATAATGAATATAATTCAGTGGCCAGATGTTCATGTACTCCATCAGCTCTAATGTGGCCTTCCTCCAGTGTGTTAACATACCCCACAAACGTCTCACAGAGTAAACTGGTTGTTTGCAGACGAGCTCGAGTGTTGTGGATTTCTCTTCCATGTTCAGTTTGGACCATTGGAGTAAAACCACAGTTTAGTGTGTACCAATTATTCAGAGAGTGTACAGTGCTTCACAGAAACAAAACCGTGCTTCATGCAGAGTTAGTCCATTGCTAGCAGGAGCTGAGGAGATGAGGATCAGGAAGGAGAGGGCTGACTGATGATTTCTTGCTGACGTCTCAGAGCCGCTGACTCTGTTCTCCTACAGTTGGGTCCTCTAGAAGGTCAGCACTGAAACAGGAAGGACGGTCACTCACTGTGGCAGCTCGGTAGGCTCAGCTTCATCTAGTAAGAGTCACATGCAGGGCAGCACAGAGACAGAGAGGAGCAGGACGAGGACACGCATGCCTGCATCACTTACAGTCAACCTCCAGCAGGGCTCTGACAGTCCGTGTGAGCTCCTGTGCCTCCTGGGCCAGCGTGGCCACCATAGAGGGGCTCTTCTTGAAGCGAGGAGGGAGACCCTGAGATGTCTCCCCGACTTCAATGTCTCCAGAGCTGCAGACAGAAAGGAGGGTTAGTCAGCAGTGAGAACCTACGACCACAAGCAGCCACGAATGGCGCCGTCACTGCGGTCCCTAGAGAAAAGTTTGACTTTTTACATCTCAATAACCTCTGGCCTTGTGTCTTGCCTGTGCTGGAGCTGACAAGCACCTGGGAGGCACCAACACAGAGACTGTTGGTTTAGGGGCCTGGGAGAAGCGAGCCAAATGCTTCTCTCTGCACTGAAAACTTTATGGAAATTAGACTCAGCTTGCTGTTGGTTTGTGACAGCCTGATGAACACACTCTCACCTCCAGTTGTCTGGATGATGGACTGAAGTGACCATTGTGGCTGCGGCTGGGCTTCAGGTGTCGGAGTCCACTCACAGCACATACACTGCACTGAAGTACACATATGAGCTGCTTATGCTTGAGTTGACTATTTCCATTTTATGAAGCTGTATAATTCCACTCCATTAAATCCCAGAGGCACTGTTGTCCTTTTTGCTCCACTACATTTGCCTGACAGCTCCACTTACTTTTCAAATGACCATCCATTTCCTTCCTGCTCATGTATCAACTTGTCATAAGTCTGAAAACAGGTCTGTTTTCTTAGCTTACAAAATGCTGAACTTTAGCTCTTGTGCATCTCACAGGACAGCACCACCACACCACCCTAGAGAACTTTTCTTTTCTTTCAGCCTCCTCCTCTAACACAGTGCACAGGCCAGGGCGCCTAAAGGCTGAAATTAGAATTATGTACCCAGTCACTTCCTGGGAGTGAATGGGCAGCCATTTTATTCCTAACAAAGCTGCCTCATGCCACCAACGTGATCGAGCGGCCAGCCTACATTTCAGCTCACCGGTGGCCTAGAAACAGATGGACAGGTGAATAAAAAGAAAAACACGACGGGGGGTCCCTGGTTATGAAAGACAGGTCCAGGTGTCCCACTAACCTGAACTGAAATAAAAGGAAGCCAGGCGGGGGTGTCATAGCTGGGTGACTTAATAACATGACCAACTGACCTGATTTTCAGAAGCCTTACACAAGTGGCCTGAGGGTGCTGATAACTCTGTGTTATGCCTCACAAACTGCAAGATCAGAAGTCAGCAGAGCAGGAAAATAGAAAAGGCTCATTCTGCTGCGAGATTAAAAACATTGCTAAATTGAAATGAAAGAAGAAGCAGACAGAGCTAAAAGTCTCCAATAAAGCAGGAAGAACTTTAATTCTTCTGTGGTGCCAAATTCCTTGTATGTTAATGGTGATTAAAGCTAATTCTGATTCTAACACATGCCAGTATGAATTCAGATACAATAATAAAAACCCTGAAATCACATATGAGCTGTAGAGCTGGTGGTTGCTAACGGCAACCAGTTTAGCAGCTCATATTCATCAGTCTGACTCATTAGCGTAGCCACCATGTTACTAATGAACACACATTTGTGTCTCTTTACCTGCAGCTCTTTGTTGGACACTGACTTTCACACAGGAACTCCTGAACATTCTGCAGAAACAGGACAAGAAATGAAAAAAGCACAAAGTGAACATGACTGACGTTTTGTTACTGTCTCAGTGTTATCGTCTTGGTTTCTGTGAATCTACTTGAACTAAGGATTATTGCATCAATGGGAATCCTGCTGGAACTGTCCTTTCAGGGAAACTGAAATAGTAAAATAGTCTCAGCTGTTGTTGCTTTTGTGATGCTGAGGTGCAACAGGCACAAATGTTTCAGTTAATGCTTCCCTCTGTGTGCAGGCAAAAGTATTCCTTCAAGGCTGATTAGGTTAATGGTGTCTGGACAGTGGAGCTCTGTGGCTCGGAGGGGAAGACAGACATGCACAGGGGCATGTTAGCAGGTTACTGTCAGTGCTGGTTTACCTTTTCACAATTAAAGATCACAATAACAGGAACACAGTGCAAGTTCAGATGAGTCCTCTGGTTTGACTGACTACCTCCACAAAGCTAAGCAGTTTTCCTGTTGACACCTCAAAGCCCTTTCTGGTCACTTCGCTTTTCTGTAGCTGACACTCCTGGATGGCCACTCTCTTCTTCAGCTCCTCCATCTCCTGCAGTAAAAACAGAACAACAATAAACAGTGTTCTTCCCTGCGACACTGGTTTCTCTGTGTGGTTCAAGTGGTACATGTTAGAGAACCGCTTAGACGTTATAGACAAAACAGTGTGTGCACATGAGGAGGGTTGGCTGGAAGGCACCCAAACAACAATTAGCCCAAAACACCATCACTTATCCATCATAGTCATTTCACACTGATCATCAGTTCACTTCATGATATTCAATCACCAAGTGAAGCAAATACATGATGTCAGCACAGAAGTTCACCATGGACAGCTGCTGCCTGCATCTCAGAGCAGATCTGTGACCAGCACTGTGCACATGGTGCATATGGGACCGGGTGGTGCTGATCCCCCTGAGGACACCCTTACTGCTCCTCTCACATGCCGCACAAAGTGCCTGCTGGCTGCTCCCAGCGACAGGCCTCAGCCACGGCTCCAGGTCAGTGTCCTCCGGCCGCTTGTCAGAGGACTTGCATTTGCCCACTACACTGGCTCATCTCTGTAAAATCAGTTTAACGTGTAGAGTTGTTACACTGACAGCAGTCGGTCAGTGAGCGCGCAACGTTTCACTTTTCCACGTGATGTCAAACGTAGCCTGGATTTCACCAGGCATCACGTCTGTGAAGGAGAACTGCACAAGCTACACAGCCGCACAATGTAAATAAATACATTCACACAAACCTGTAGTGCACAGACTCTTTGGACAAAGGGGCTCTTCACATGGAAAGTAACTAGAATTTAATACCTCTTAAAACAGAGATGAATTTTTAATAATTTTAAATTTGGATTAAATTGATTAATTACCTTTTAAAACTTTTTCAGACCCCATGTTCAACCTGTACTAGTTCAGCCATGTTGAATCGTTCCTTTGTAACAGTACTTTGTTTAAAAGTACTGCATAAGTAAAGTTTGTTAATATTATTGTTGTCACTGGTTCTGCCAGTCCACTTTTCTTTAAGGAACAAGTTCCTGGGACCAAAGCAACAGATCAGGTCAGCAGATTCTTTGACTTCCTGTTAAATTTTGATATTGGAAAATAAACTGGAACACTGAACAATGGAGAAATCTTAATTCTGTGCCTGTGTGTGTGTTAGTGCATGTGTCTGGCTCATCTTATTTTGTAATGTATTTATTCTATTTCCTGTATGACTTCATAACATCTTATGAAAGGTGCTATATAAACACAGCTGACCTGATTCGACGTCCCCTCTATATTTTGGTGTGTTTACTTCCTGAGCTGACTGAGATAATCTGATCTTAGAAACTGGTTGATGCATCCAGTTCACCCAGTCTATGTCTTGGCTCTGAGCAGGTGGAGATGCCATTACCTGTATGAATATGGACACAATATCCCTGATTCAGCGCTTTGTTTTCAGCACGTCACATTACTGGCAACACAGGAGAGAGTGGCTACAGATTTAGAGAATGTGAAACCTCCCACGGCATCGGCTCAGCTCAGCACCAGCAGCGAGCTCTCGCCATCCTCACGAGCCCGTCAGTGCTGCTGACCCGCAGGTTGCTAGCCAGACTGGTATAAAAATAGCCTGTCACCTGAGAAAGGCAAAGCCAGAGGGGAGCAGCTCTGCCACTGAATAAGACGAAGCAAACCGCTGACCCAGATTCACTGTAGCCGATGGAGGAAGAACCCCAAGAGGAGGGAAGAGAGTCAAGGAGGTATGCTGGGAAATTACAAGGCAGATTACTGAAATATCATGTGAGAGTGGCGGGGGGGAGACATGACTTAGTATCAGACAGGCAGTCATTTCTTCACTGAGATGTCTCAGTTGATTTATATGAAACAAGGTTGCTTGTTGTTTAATTTAGCTCCAGTCTGCAGCAGCTACATGAAAGTAAATCTGAGGCAGACATGATTTATTATTAGTCATCATCTCTAATGCACTACAGTCAGTTTATTTTAATAAACAAGCAAACAGTGAAACTGTTGCTGAGATTCTTCTTCAGATCAAATCAGCCTGTAAAAAGTATTTTCCCATTGGATGCAACTGGAGTAGAAGAGGTTAAAAAGCCTTTGTACAGGGTAATAATGTGACATCTGAGCAGAAGCCTCTCCCCAGAGTTTTTTACATGCAAATGGATGAGTGGGTGAATGAATGAATATCCACCAAAACATGTTATATAAAGCATGTCATAGAAATTAAACAAGGAGAAAAGGGAAGGTCATCGTCTTGTCATTCAGTGCTTGTGCACAGTCAGATGTCATCAGAGTTCACTCTCTAACAACACTACATGATGAACATGATGTGAAAATGAATCAGTGGATTTGCTGCGAGAGGAGGAGGAGGTGAGCGTCCCTCACACTCACAATGGCCATTAATTAAAGCTTCAACTGCAAAATAAATCCATCCGAGATGAAGCCTGAGAGAGAGCAGGAAGCACTCTTTGTCCACATTATCAGGACATTTTTAACTGAGCACTCTCATGTCTGAATGAAGCTACATTAACTAAAAGTCATGTGTGAATCACTCAAACCGCTAAATGAATGTTACATATTCAGTGTCTGAACAGAGTGAGACAGGAGAGCAGAGAGCTGGGTTGTGGTGCCGGCGCTGACTCAGCCTGTCACTTTTCCTTCCTGCACCGACTCGCATTATATTCAACCAAAATTTCATGAATTTGCTTAAAACAAGAGGGAGTTTGTCAAGAAAGTCCTCTTGAGCTTGTCTGTTCTGTCAAGGACAACCTGCAGATGGATAAAAGGTGAACTGCTTCTGCAGCCACTGCAGCTTTCTAACCCGACAGAGTGTGAACCTAAACGTGCTCAGGACAGAGCTGTGGAGCAGACCAAATCGTGTGTCCGGCTGCGTCCAGTCACGTCGGTCACCTTATGCTGTGCTAACAGTGAAACACAGAGTAGAACCACCTCCCTGCCATGCTTTTGTTATGTCTCAAAAATAGTTTAAGATCTGCTCTGCAACAACAATGAGGAGCTCTGCACTTCACTCTCCACCAGTGCAAGCAGATTCTGAACCATCTGTCCGACTCATATTTGTGCCAAAGGGCTGTCTGTGAATTTGTCAGCGGGGTTGAGACACTGCAGTTTGATTGCCACCTATCTTATACCATAAACTAACAAATGGCACAGTACAGTACATGGATTTGCTGTGTGCTAACCACCAGTACAGAGCACTGTCAGTGCACGGTCATGTACGGAGCTAAAGTTAGATATCATGGATGAGTTAAAGCAGAAGAGCGTGTGCACCAAGTGTGGAGATGAAGTTCGTGTGTGTGTGTGTGTGTGTGTGTTGCCGGGCACATCTGGTTGGGTAAGTAGTGAATACCAGCATGAGCTGTCTCCCCTCCAGCTGCGGCCTCTGGGGTCCTGAGAGGGCCCCTGTCTTGAAGCCTGACCTGTAGCTCTAATGAGGAGCATGTCACCCGCCTCTCCTCTGCCACTCACCCTCCTGCTCTCCAGAAAAGGCAGCATAATGAACAAGAAAGCCCCGGCTGTGCACAGGCTGTACAGCCTGGTGGTGAGAGGCAGAACAAAAGATCAGCGGCTGGTCCTGGTTTCCATCCCAACCTGACAGCTTTAGTCAGAATGAAAGGTTTTCTGCTCCTGATCTCACTGAGAAAAGGCACTCACATTTCCATTTATGACAGCCTCTTGCTTTATTTGCCAGTAATGTAACAAAAGCACCATGTCCCCATCTATAAGCAGCTGATTTCACTGAAAGCCATCCTCAGAGGAGAGAACAGGAAATGCACTTCAGGTTTCTCACGTGTGTGCAGAAGGTCACAGCAACTTGACAGTGTTTCCGAAGACACGAAATCAGAACGCTCAGACTGTTCAACTAAAATTCCTACTAAATCTACTAAATCATGCCTGGTCACCTGTAATGACTCATTTATATATAATAAAGTGAAAGACAAGGAAAAATTGCTATGATATCTTTTATTTTATCTTTGTCCTCTTCATTTGGAAAACAACACACCTGTTCATCGCAGCCAGCAGGTGGCAGGTAGCCGGACAGTCTGGGGCTCTATGCTCCAGAGTGAGCTGCCCAGCCGCTCTATGCTCCACTCAACTCACTGGTATACTGCATTCATAAAGCTATTCAAGACAAACTTCCCTTATGTCTGTGCAAATTTTCACTATTTAAGAGTTCCAGTCACAGTCCTAGCTCACATGACCCAGA